TCGAAAATAATAATATATATTATAAAAATATATTATAAAAAAATTTATAATAATAATATATATTATATATTAAAAAATAAATATAATAATATATATTTTATATAAATTTAAAAAATAAATATATAAAATATTTTAATTAATATTTTTCGGTTTTTAATATAATAATATTTTTCGGTTTAATATATATATTTAATATATATTATAAATTCTTTTTTCATAATTAACATAATAATATATAAAATAATATATATAATTTTTTTTTGCGTTTTTTTCAGTTTTTAATCTATATATTTAATATATATTATAAATTCTTTTTTCATAATTAACATAATAATATATAAAATAATATATATTATAATTTTAAAAAATAAATATAGTAATATATATTTTATATAAATTTAAAAAATAAATATTAAAGTAATTTTAATTAATATTTTTCAGTTTTTAATATAATAATATTTTTCATCACTTTTCCTTCACATTTAGTATATATTATAAATTAATAGTATAAACAAAATTACATTAATTGTTATAGGAAAAAAAATGAATTAGTATAAATTATTATATTAAGTTATATATATTAATTAATTATCTTATAAAGTAAAAATAAAAATTATTGATATTACGTTAGAAGTTAGAATTGATTATATAATAAATTACAAATTATTATTATTATTTTGAGATAAGTTACTACCTCCTTTTTTAAATAAATGTCGTTTTTGACTTTTTTGATTCATCCATTTTGCTATGTATCTAGACATATTAATGTCTAGATACATAGCAAAATGGATGAATCAAAAAAGTCAAAACGACATTTATTTAAAAAAGGAGGGAGTATAATTTATTATTTTTGTAAAATTATTAACATACATCGTAAAATATTGCAGGTGCCACTCGAAGATTTTGGAGGAGACTGTGAAGATTATCGAGCTTGTTTTGTTACAAATAAGTTATTTGATACTCCCGATAAAGCTATTGAATGAGCAAAAGACATTGCAATAATATGGGGTTTCCACTTGGTTATCTCGAGACACAATAAGGATGGAACGGTTCGGACGTTGAGGTGTGATCGAGGGGAACGTTACAGGGGCAAGGCATGAACACTAGGAAATTTAGTGAATGCTGTCTTGAGACGTTCGAAGATGAAATATACTGGCTGTCTTTTTCACTTAAATGTGAAATTTGAAGAGGTATCCCAAAAATGGTGTATATGGCTTCAATTAGAAGACGAGAAGGGATTTCATAATCATGCGTTGACTGTGTATCCTGAGGGTCATCGACAGATCAGCAGGCTTAGCGACTCATCCAAAGAGATTATCCGTGACATGAGTGATGCTCAGGCAAGACCGACAGCAATTTTGGTTGCAATTCAGGAGAAAAACCCTGTGGACAACGATACTTGCCAACAAGTTTATAACTATAAAGCTCAATTGCGAAAAGACCGTATGGGGGGTCGAGATATTGCTGGCCAGCTTCTGCATTTGGCTACCGACAGCAACTAATAGTTTACACATACGTTGACCCGAACACACAGGCGTTGACACGTGTGTTCATGTCGCATCCACGAACAACCAGTCTATTCCGGACATATTATTGATATGTCGGTATAGATTCCACGTACAAAACCAACAGGTATGTTACATTACTTTATAAATCTATATAAATATAAAAAGATTTATTAATTAATCGGTCAAAATAAAATTTGAAATTGCATGTCCCAGATTTTCTTATATTTGGATTGGTTGTAAGTAAGGGTATTTGAATAAAAAAAAAAGAATGAACTTGTCAACAATTGCGGCTTCAGTTGTCCGAGATTCTTAGAAAAAACTTCGGTTGATGTTGTTACAAAACGAAAAAGAAATAAATATAATAAGATTGTATTAAAAAATCAATAAAATCTACAAAAACATAAATCGGTCAAATATTATTACATGATAGTTTAATTAAATATTGTTTTTGAGATAAACATTCGAAATTGTTTACAATTTTGATTCACATTTTAATTAAATAATGTTAATGATTCGAAATTGTTTACGATTTTCATTTGCACAGGAACCACATGCCGTTGGTTGAGATGATTGGAATGACGCCGTGCAACAAGAACTTCTTAATTGCTTATGCAATTGTGAAGGACGTGACCGAGTATAGCTATGACTGGGTCCTACAGCGGTTGAAACTGATGATAGAGTCTGATAAACAGCCTTCAGTCATTGTCAGTGATCGGGAGTTGGGGTTGATTACTCCTATTCAGAGGAATTTTTTCCAACGACGCCCCACTTACTCTGCACGTGGCAAATCAACAAGGACGTGGAAGACAAGGTCTATCGGCTGACGAAAAAAAATAAGATCTTCGCACAGAAGTTCACGCACGACAAGTGAAGAAGGTTGTCCAGGCGAACACGTGGGAGAAATACAAAACTGCCCTAAACGATATGGCTGTTACGTACGCAAAGTTTCCTCGTGTGCTGGATTATGTGGATAAGACATGGCTAGTGCACAAGAAGAAGTTTGTCTAAGCGTGGACGGACACTGTCTTACATTTTGGCAACACAACGTCATGTAGGGTGGAGAGTTCCCACGCTACGTTGAAGCGGTGGCTTGAAACGTCCACCGGTTCGCTCGACACGGTTTGGGAGAAGATTGACAAGGAGATTGAGTCTCAATTGACTAAAGTCAGGTATATTCTTTAAGTTTTTACAGTCAGACTGTGTTTGTTATTAATGCATTAATTATAAAAAAATTTGTAGTATTTATTTCGGTTTTAAAAAATATATTCTTAAATATATATAGATATATATTTTTTTAATATATATTAAATATATAATATATATATATATAATATATTTATTTAATATTTATTTTTTTTGTTTTTTTTTCGTTTTTTGTGTTTTTTTTCGCTTTTTAAAAAATATATATATTTATTTAAGAAATAAATATATAAATATTATGTATATATTAAATATTAGAATATATTAATAAATTAAGTTATGTATTACCAGGGAGACGCTGGAGTCTTCGAAACTCAGGATGAGTACGGGCTACAGGGGATTCCCTTTCGAGCAGTTGAAACTGCGAGTCTCGCATTATTGTATGGATATATTGAATGATGAGCTTCAGAAGATGCGAGACTTCGGCAAAGGTGCTTGTGATCTGTGCGATTGTGCACTATAATACACTCATGGACTTCCTTGTGCCTGTGACCTACGGGAGGCACACACTAAAGGTAGAGAGATTACGCCCAACGACATCCACAGGTTCTGGAGCACACTAGAGTGATGGTCTGGCGGTAGCCCAACTGGCGCAAGAAATGTATAAGCATGTACGGCTCCACAATATTCTGGTACCTAAGGCATCCGGAATAAAGGGTCCTAGGCTCCAACACATGCGGCTCGGGGCCGTATGGTAGCCAGTTTACCTGTTCACAATTGCATAAAACATTTATTCGAACATTTTGAGTATTCTAAATAACTCCCAGGTAAATGTAAATAAAAAAAACTTAATGTACCTCGGCGGCTGTGAGTCTATCAAGCCGCGGACGGAAATCCTTGAGGCGCTTATCTGAGTTATCTAGGACGGCGGTCCTCCACAAGGTCGATCGAGCTGGGCTTCCAGGCTCGGAGGCCATACGAGCACCGGGGGATCGGAATGTGGGGAAATACTCATATATCCAAGACTGCAAGAGAGTCAAGCAGCCCGCCACTCCCCTCGAGTCACCCCTGCTGGCCATACCTAAATGTCTGAATAGGTATGCCAGTGTGGCCGATCCCGACGAGTAATCGCCAACTGTCTGTAGGTTCTGCATCATCTCGTGCAGGATTTTGGGATTGACCCTGTTACCACTCTTGTCCGTAAACAAGGTGGTACCGAGCAGCACCCACATCCAGCCAGTCGCCACATGCTCAGCCGACCGCGTTGCACCATTCTTCTGCAATGCAGTAACAACGACGTCATTTGACACCGAGCCGTGACCCCAAAAGCTCGCCATCAGCCTGTCCTGGGTCACACCCAGCAGCTCCATGCAGTACGGACGCTGTGTCATGCCGTCGAGGTCCCCTATGACAACCTATCCG